GTTGTTATTTTAAAAAGAAGTGGCTGGGGATTTAGCTCAGTGGTTCTGGCACCTACCTCACAAGTGCAAGGTCCCAAGTTTGATCCTCAGTACCAAAAAAAAAAAAAACTAGGGCCAGGGATGTAGCTCAGTGGTGCCACCGCCTGCCTGACAAGCCGAGGTCCTGAATTCAATCCCCGGTATATAAATAAATAAATAAATAAATAAATAAATGTAGCTGAATTAAGTACACTACATTTACACAATGGAATACTACTCATTTATAATACAGAATGAGAAAATTCCTTTCAAAAAAATTCCAGTCACCAACTCTCTTCACCTCAAGCTATTTACGTGATCCAGGGACACTGGGAGTATGGCCTCAGTAGGCCCTAGGTAATTCTAATGTAAGCCAATGGAAAAAGTGGTTTAGGGCAAGACTCAGACAAGTAACTAACAGTTATACAACAGTATGAAGTGAGGACCCACAAAACAGTGAGTATTCTCCAACTCTAACTTGGAGAAGGCAGGAGAAGGCTACCTACTAATTGCATCCATGCTAAAATGTGATGCACCAGAGAGAATGAGCCATTAAGATATGAACAAGGAAAACAAGATTATTAAACAGATAAAAGATTAGGAAAAAACTGGGAGGCCAAGTCCCATCCTGCAAGGCCCCTCAGGGTAGGGTCCTGTGGTTAGTTCAGTAAGACTGAGAAAAATAGCAGCGCGTGATGAGTGGTGAGCTATGAGGCTAGACAGAAAAGCCTGAGGTGATTCAGAGAGATCACAAAAATCCAATTAAAAATCTAAAATATTCATGGATCAATAAAATATCCACAAAAATTTAGTTTACATTCCACAACAATTTTAATACACTTTCAATGTACCAATGATTAGAAGGAATAATCGATAATGTAAAATAGGAAGAAAAGGTCCAAAGGGGTAGGGGTAGTGGGAGGGGCAGGGGAAAGGAAAGAAGGGAAAGGAAAAATGATGAGAAATGGAAAAAATGGAAATAAAGTCTTTGTAAATAGGGAAGGGTGGAGGGCGTGAAGGGAGGGCTAGGAATGGGGAAAAAATAAGAAGCAAGATGCATTATGTAAAGGTACAATTCCCAATGAGAAATGTAATTGTGTTGGGTACCTAAAATGTACCAATAAAACAATTAAAATACATATTTATATACTTTCAATAATAACAGCATTACTATAGATACATAGTACACATCATATGCAAGATATCTATTCTACAAAGTTGTATATAATAATCTGTGAGTCCTTCACAGTATTCTCATGGTACAGAAGTCAGGGCAACCAGAGTAGGTTCTCATGGATTTAAGTGATTTTATTACTTCCTCATAAATTGATGAAGGTATTAAAGTATTGTGGATCAGAAACTAGATGTGGATCAAAAAGGCATGTTCCAACTACTTGTTTAACAGAATGTAATCAAATATAACTATTTAATATTCTTTTTTAACTGAGCACCTGCTATGGAGAGGACACTAGGCTCAGTGATGGAAGGGATAGAACACGAGAAGTATACACTCACCCTGTCTTCAAGACATTTCAGATCTAGAAAGGGGTAATACATGTGAATAAATAACTAGGCCAGAAGGCAGTGGGGTGATGGGAGGAATGGGGAAGGCAATAAAACGCACAAAGTGCTGAGGAAGAAAAGAAACCAACAACATACTCAGGGCTCTGAAATGGAGCTGGAGACTCATTCATATTTTTTTTAAATCCTCTGAGAGTTGCAGTTCAGAGAGATTGTGCTGGTACAAGCAGTTTAAAAGTTCAGCCTTAAAAGATTTAAGTTTTCACAGGGAGAGGCACTGAGAGAGCCTTCTAGGCAACAGGAGTGCATGGACAAAGACAAAATGCTTTGGTGATAAAGTACAGACTACAAACACACAGGGCTGGGGAATGATGGCATGACGGTGAAGGCTGAGCACAGGCTGCTGAATCCTGACTTTGGGCTAAGGAGTCTATACTTAAATGAGCAGAAAACAAAGGATGAGAATTGAATCTTAGCTATAGTACTTACTAGAGTTGCAAAGTAGACTTGAACTTAACTTTTCCTAGCCTCATATGGAGATTGAAGGTATAATAACAGCACTTGCTTTGATGCTGCTCTCAAGACTGAATGCAATATGCATGTACAGTACATACAACAACACTGAGCACAAGAAAGTTTAGCAGCTGTCACTGCTGTTACTAATATTTGTGTTACTAACTATATAAGCCCCCCAAGACTTTTTAACAATATAATGATAGTACTTAAAGAGTTTACTTCACCATCCATGGTTTGAAGGTGAGATAGAGACAGGAAAAATCTACCTGTAGGCAATGTGAATGCGGAACAAAGAAGTCCCTGAAACCTTTAACTAAGATAGTGCAGGGGTAATAGGAAAGGATTCGCATGAAAAACGCTGAGACAAGAGCTACAGGGAGCATGAACAAGTTTCAACAGTAACAACTGAAAAGTGAAAAAAGAAGTTGCAGAGAGAGAGAGCCAGAAAGCTAATGAGTAACTAGATTAGATAGGAAAGGAATTTGTAGGAAACTATACACAACTCTCAATCATTCATGGAAGGCCTTTTCAACTTAATAACTTCCAGGTTCCCTAGTGTCCCACACTCCCTCATCTCTACGGGCATTCTACTCCAACCCTCCCTGGAGCACTCCTAAAATGGGAAGGACAATTAAGAAAATGTAGTACTTGCAAAGAAGCACATTAGAAATAAAATGTGGATTATCCAGATCCTCAAGCAGGGAAAGACACTATACTACCCCCAAAACTGGAATGCAGTAGAAGAAAAAAAAAGGACCTCTAATTACTTCCCCACAGCCTGTTTTGCGGTTGGCCCTTTAGGCAGTAACCATGCCACTCTTTCCTAACTTCTTCACACCCTCAGTTCAAGTGGGGAAAGATTTGAAACGTCATTATTTCACCAAAAGTTTGCTGCTGCAGCTTTTAGAATTAGTGGTTTCTACATATGGGAACAGGGAGACTAACTGGCTTTCCAGCACTTTTCTTAAGAGGTAAAAGCAGCATTGTTCAAAGTTCATTTACCACAGTGGGTAAAACCAATCTGATCTCTATTTAGATTTGGATGAAATGAAGATTTCCTTCTTCCCTTATTAAAAGCCTCCAATCTACCAGACCCACAAACCATACATTCAACCACAAAAATCAATGGCAATAAGTCTTGACAACTCAGAAACCAGAGCACCTACACATTTGATACTGTCATCAGAAGGTTTCAGCCCAACCTCAGACAGTTTTAACATATTAGGGTATTTTCACTGGGGTCTATCATTATGAGTTAGCATCGAATTAAATAGTGGGACAAAAGACATGAGAGTGTAGAGTCAGAAAGACTAATAAAATCTAGCTCAGCAATTTACAGTTGACCCTGGGCAAATTCCTGAAGCCTACATTATTTCTTCACCTGAGAAATGAAGATAATATCATAACACTGCCTATCGAGATGGTGAAGATTATGTGATAATATAGCCTATGGCAGCCTGCTAGAATCTGGTCTGCAACATAACTATTAGCTATTATTGAAAATATAGCTAGATAATAAAACAACAAATCTTTTGGCTGAGCAACAGCTTTGTTACAAATAAAGCTAAATGTCTACTGGCTGTAAAGGTAGAAACCATATTTTAGTTTCTTGGAAGTGGCCCAGAACAACAAAGAAAAAAATGCGCTGTTAATGCTAGACCCACCAGAATAACCTTGAGAAAACTGGTTAACCTGCTGGAGCCCTAAACTCCCATCTGGTTAAAAATATCTAGCTAAAAAGACTACTGCAATGTTTAGTGAGGTAATCTATACCGAGCACATATCTTGGTGGTTAGTAGGTGCTAACTGTTTGTAGTTATTACTATTTGTTAATTTTCCCGATCTAAAAAAGATAAAGATGAAAATCAAAACCAGCTATAAAATCACCACTCTTCATATTTTACAGTTTTCATTTATTCACTGCATATATGTGTACCGCAAAACTACTGTGTGTCAGACAGTGTTTATGACTTTGAGAATCTTGTTAAGAGGTGAACAAAACCAATCAGGTCTCTGCTCTCCTGGAATTTACTTTTAGGAGAGGAAGGCAGATAGTGAATAAACTGAGATTATTTCAGGGAGAAAGAAGTGCTGTGACAAACAGCAAACTGTGGTGTGGAGTTGGCCTGTCCGACTGGTCTCCTTTGTCCAGAAGGGGGACCTTACCTTCTATGACACTTGGGGGAAGAAGCCAGAACTACGCCTTTCTTTACCTGTTTCTAGAAGTATCTGTTTTGCAGCTGTAGGTTAGAATAAGATATTTCTAAATGTCCCCATCCCAGTAATCAAAACCCAAGGGCCAGTGCGAAGTCTGTGGGGACTGCAGCGCCTCAAGGCAGTTCTCAGAGCCATAGAAAGCGACAACTTCAAAAGCGCTTTCAGTAACAGGAGTCAGAGCGGCACGCCCTATTTTAATAAGTATCTGGACGACGCACGACAGTGCACTGAGGCTGTAAACGCACCCCAGGGAACCCCGAGGGGGCAGGCACCCTCGGCCCCCAGCCCAGGCGCCCCAGAGCGAGCGGGCCGGGGTGGCCGAGTGTCGCCGAGGTCTGCCCGCCGTGCCCCACCCGCGGATGTGGTGAAGCCTCCCGCCGGGCCAAGTAAGCAGGTTTCCTGTGCGTAGGGACAGCTCCACAGCACCGCATCCTCGGGTACCCGCGCCCCGGCCCCTAAGCCCGGCTGCTGCTCACCGTCCGCCTGGGTCAGGCTGTCCCTCGAGGGACACAATACCGGGGCGGGCAGCACCCGGTCCTTCCTCCCGGGGGCTGCAGCCGAGAGCAACGGCGAGCTCCCCGGCTCAGGGCTGCCCCAGCGGCGGGCTCTTCCTCGGATGGCAGGCACTGGCAGCGCCCCCCCCCCCCGAAATCGCAGGCCTTCCAGCTCCATCGCCGCCGGGGTCCCCCGCGCCCCTGCACCTCTCGGGCGGGCGCCCCGCCACTTACCTGCGCGCCTCGCCAGGTAACGCAGGGACGCAGGCCGGGTCCCGGCGCCGGCTCCGGGGTTTGCGCAGCCGGGGAAGGAGGCGCCGCCGGCTTCTCCCGCCCGGCAGAGAGCACAACAGACAGTTCTGAGCCGGCTACGCGGGCGCGGACCGCTGGTGCCGGACGGACGAAGGGGTCGGCGCTCGCGCGGCGCACTGGCCTCCAGGCGCCGAGGTCCGCTGGTCCCGGCCGGCTCTCCGGCACCGCAACAGCGCGACCAGTTCCCAGTACTTTGCCCACAACTTCGCGCCCGCAGCCAGGATTAGCAGCAGCTGCGGGGCGAGGGGCGGGGTAGGGGAGGAGCCTACATCCGCCTCGGGGGAGGGCCACGTGGAGAGCGGCACCGAGTGACCACCACTCCCACCAACCAGGAGCTGTCCCTGGAAAGGAGGTGGGGCGATGCCCTCGGAAGAAGTGGGAGGGTTTAGCGAGGCCTCGGGATAGTTGGGATCACAGTTCGGGACTGGTGGGGAGGTTGGAGGGTGGCGAGAGCCACAGCGAGGCTGGACGTGCGGCTGTCCGCGCCGCAGCGTTAGGCGCTCAGTAAATAAATGTTCGTCCGTCGGATGGCGTTTCTGCGCCAGGAAAGAGAAATGAGGGCGGCGCCGGAAGGGTCACTTTAAGAGGGTTCCCAGGGGCACTTGTAGCCAGACAGGCCGAGAGATCTTGGCCTCTCGGAACAGACTGCTGCTGGGAGATCGAGAATGGGGAAGACGCAGTGGTGAGGGGAGTGTTAGGACGAGACGTGGAGGGACAGAATTGATGTGGGCCCCTGTCGAACCTGACGTGCGTATTCGTGGCCGGGGCCCAGGGCCGGATGAGAGGAGAGCGGTCGCTCGGTGCCTGAAGTTCCCATGCAACGGCGGGGTGGGGGGTGCAGTGTAGTTGCAATTAAAATCCTGAAGCTCCGGGATAGACGGGGTCGGTCCCACTTGCCTGCCCACTCCTCTTCCGGCCTCCTCTGAGGCTCCACGCCTAGACTGAATGCAAGCCACTGTTAGTTTAAGATCACTTTAGTGACTGGAAAAGCTTTGGGTGCAGAACGCACCCAGAGTTGGGTGGGAAAAAGATGAGCACTTACAGAGCGCACTTTCTGGGGCCCTTCCCGCGGCTATGCCAGGCGCATTTCATTCATCGCCGAGGCGGAGTGTCTGGCCCGTCAGCTTTGGCTCTAGAGGGCGGCGGCCAAGTGGGGGAGGATCCCTGAGATGCTGCAGAACAAACCGACTGTCATGCTGGCCACACTGGCGCGCGAAGAACTGTGTTGAACATTGCAAATTGAATGACTTGGAGGTTCCTGGGTCACGCGAGCGCACACACACACACACACACACACAACTCATGGACACTGGTGTCTTGCAGGCGTACAAACAGTTCATCCTGAATTCAAGGAGGCACCTTGCCTAGGCCAGCCCTGGCTGCCGGATTTGTTTTTCCACCTTTTCTTTTTCCATTAATTTCGCTGAGAGAGGCTCGCTCTGTCCACTCCACCCCAACTTGATAGTTTCCTTCTTTCTTTTCCTTTCTCTCGGTCCACCTCCACCATCACCCCGTTTTGTCAGCAATGGTTTTTCTGCAGGAGACAAACCATAAATCGGGCAGGAATTAATTTGCATGGGGCCTTTTTTTTCCCCTTTGTGGCACTGGGACTTGAACCCAGGGGCGCTCCACCACTGAACTACATCCCCTCCCCTTTTATATTTTAGTTTGAGACAAATTCTAGATAGATTGTCCAGGCAAGCCTCTAACTTGTCATTCTGCCTCAACCTCCAGAGTAACTAGGATTACAGGGCCTTATTGTTTGAACTATCATCCTCTTCTTGGCTTTTTCTTCAGTATCTTTCAAATACCCTCTTTGTGAGTGTGTGTGTTCCTACTCATATGTGAACCTGTTAATTGGACAGGATGAGAGAGTTATTCATATTCAGATTGTGCCTTGCCTTCAAGAAAAAGAGGAATCTTACTGTGGCTTTTCATAGTTTCATTTCCTCTTCTGCTAAATAAGCTTCCAGGCTCTCCAGCTCCTATAATCAAAAGGGAAAAAGTCGAAACCCACGCAGAGCTAACTATTCTTGAAAAGGCTTGTTAATGCCCTAAAATTAGCTTCCTCCTCAGAGTTTTATTTTAAAGAAACAATCTGAATGTCTAGTAGAGGAAGATCAATGGTTCCATAATAAGAATTTCTAGAGCTCCTCTTCTTTGAACTATTGAAATAATATTGTTTATCTTCACAGACACGCCCACAGTGGTAGGAATTTTTTGCAGTGGTCCCCGTGTTTTTAATTTTTTAAATTCCAAATAGATGAGCATGTGCTTCTTGAGTTTGCATATTTTGATAGTAAAAGAAGCTGCTCATAGTGGAGTGTAGGTGGAGAGCTCTGCAGGCCCCTAGAATCTGACTACCTGAGTTCCTGTCTTGATATGACTACTTCCTGATTCTGAAATCAAGATCACCTTTCCTACTCTGAAAATGGAGATAGTAATTGTACCTACTGGGCTGCAGGAGTTTGACTATCTGTCTGAAAACAACTGTCACAAAGCCTAGCATAGAATTCTCAGCCTCAGCACTATTGACAGCTGAGAGCAGATCATTCTTTCTTGTGATTGGCTATCGTGCCCATGTAGCCACATTTCTGCCCCCTACCCACCCACCACAGGCAAGGAACACCCTGTCATCTCCAACTGTAGCAACCAAAAGGTCTCCAGACTTTTATACTCTGGAGGGCACAATTACCCCTTGCTGAAAACTACTAGCCTAGCACATAGTAAATATCCACAAATTAGGAGGTAGTGTAATGAAGTGCTTAAGGATATGCGTTTCTGGAGTGTGAACCTCAGGCAAATTTCAATTCCCTAAACCTCGTCAGTAAAGAGAATCATAATAATGCCAACTTTTTCAAATTGTCTAAAGTGTAAACATAACTGTGTAAAAGCAATTTGTCGGTGCCTGGTATATGTAAGTTTAAACGTGAGCTTCTGTTCTCATTTTTGCCCTGCGAGGAAAAGGCATTGGGTTAGATGAGGGATGGCGTAGCTTGGCTTATTAGCTACTCTCTTCTGTGCCTCATGGCAGACAACTTTATTAAGTCAGGCCTGACTTTCTCACTTTCTCATTGAGTTCAAATAGGGCTTCAGAATCCTTTTTCACACAGTGCTGTAGAAAGCCACTTTGATAGATCTGTAAGAAGATGATGAAGTGCCATTCCAGGAGTAGAGGACCTTAAAGATCCCTAATGCCTTCAGAATACTCTAGAATTGTGATTACAAATGAAAAGAAACTATAGTTCATCACTTCATCAACCCCTTTTGTAAAGGGGTGGGGGACCAAAGCCCAGAGACTTCCAACATCTTGACCATGGTAATACAGCCCAGAAGTTGGATCTCCTTCCCTCTAAGCAGCCCTTTTTAGGCCATATCCATTGCCTCGGGGAAGTGGAGAAAACACTTGTCTGGAGCAGTGCCACCCTCCCATCCTGTATATGCCCACTCACCTCCTGCCTTCACTTTAAACTAGAAAAATGAATCAAACTAGTCTACAGTGTAGGAACATCCTTGTAGCAGTCTTTCAAAAGTGTTAGCTCATGACAAGGACTGTGCAAGAATTCATTAATTCCTTGATTAAATATAGATTGACTACCACTTTTGTGTGGGGGACTATTCTTAGCAGGCACTTTAAAAAATATAAAGCTGAGACTTGGGGATTTGACTCAGTGGTAGAGTGCTTGCAAGGCAAGCACAAGGCTCTGGATTTGGTCCTTAGCACCAAAAGAAAAATGATAAAAAGATGAATCAGTCAGTGTTCCTGCCCTCACTGCTTTTACAATTTCATCTATGGGGTTGATCAAACATGGATATAAATAACTACAGTACAAGCTAAAAAATGGAAACATCCTGTGAACATCACCAAAAACATGTTCAGAAAAGAGAGAAATTATTTTAAGAATTCAGAGCAGAGTCACTTCCTGCATGTTTTGTTGACATTTTTAACTTTTAATCAGAAATGTGTATTTATTACAGTAAAGTTATCCTTATAGAGGAAGTTGGCACATTGTTAGGTTTCCTAATTCAGATATAGTTCCTGCTTCATGTAAATAGATACTATCAGTGCAACAAGAGACCACAGCTCATTGTAATTCTAAATGAGTCATTTTTTATCAGATGCTTAATATTTCTAGGATATTCTAGATTGTTTATCTTTAGGAAGAACAGAACAGCTTTCTCCCAAGCATCTGACAGAACCAGCTTTTAAAAGTATGTTATATTATAGAAGCATGGGTGCTTAAAAATAAAAGAATGTAACAGGATGTCAATGTCATATGCATTGTCATGTACATTAAACCATGAAACAGTTTTCCTGCAGGACAGAACTATCTCGGGAATCTGCATAAAAATGAATAAGCATTTCATTATCTTTATGAACTCTAGAGCACATGTACATCCTGTATTAGTACCTTCTGTAAATACTAAGTGTTAACAACAGCCAACCTATAGTAAGCATTTATGCTCCAGGAACTGCCAAACTGGACTGCTGAGGTTGCTGCTCCTTCTGCCCTATTAGGAGTCTGGCTGTTAGGTCACAAAAATTTGGCAGATCTGCCGGGACCAAACACCTTTTTCTAAGCCACACCAACAAAATGTATACCTCGAATCCTGTCGCTCTCCTTTGTAATCTCATTTCCAAATTTGTGTTTTGCATAAATGCATCTGACCAGTACATTCTAAACCATATGTGCAAATCTTGCTGCAAGGATGATTTGCGGCAAATCAAGCTGCAAATCTGGCTGCATTTCTTATCTGTCCAGCCTCTATGCTACAGGAAGGAACATTAAGGGAAGTTGAGTTAAAAGTTGAGCTAGCCAAGCCACAGTATCCACTTCCAGTATCCTTTCCTCTAAGTCTCCAACAAATATGTTGTCAGAAAAAGGTTTTATATATCTGGTTTGGTGTTTTTCAGGTTTTATGAAGTAACTCGGAAGACCTAGTTCTTCATGAATCTCTCTACATTTCTGTATCTATATCCACACTGGTACAAGCCACCATCGTTTTTTGCCTGGAAAACTGTAACAAACCAGAAACTCTTTACCCTCCTTTACACTGAAACCAGAATGAGTTTTTTGAAACCCAAATCTGATGATAAAACCCTTCCACAGCTTCCTATTGCTCTTAGAATAAAGACAAAACCACTTCCATGGTTCTCAATGTCCCAAGTGGTCCGGCACCCACCAGCTTCATCTTGTGTCACTTTCTCCACACCAGCCTACTGGCAGGAGTTTATTTCTTCCTTACATG